GACAGAAAAGCCGATCAGCTGATCATTGATCAGCTTCATGATTGAAGTAGCAACAGGAAAGGAGGGGGAGAGAAGAAGAGGCAGTCACTGCATATATTAGTTGTTAAGCTTGACGTGGGAATGCTTTACAAACATTCAGAGATGAATTTACACACTTGCTTTACTTCTCTCGGATAACTTTCTCGGAGATGAAATGCCGGTTTCGTAGCGAGGCTCTAACTGCTCAACCAGACCACCGACAGGTCTCGCACGCCACAGCCGCTCTATCACGTGACGCATGCTGCTCCGACGTGCTAAGGTTATGAGCTGAGTTATGCCATGTCGCAAGTTTTGTTAAATGATTTTGTGATATTTAATGGATCGGATTACATTTTTTATTTCTCTTCGATATCCGATCCAGTAATTTAGGTCAGTATCGGACCGATGCGTAATATCGGATCGGTCCATCTCTAATTTGTGGTAATCAGTGAAATTCGTATTGCAGACAACTTGGTGTGGTCCACCAAACTCCAGTAACCAGAGCAATCTGTTAGCAACCAAAGCGAGCACAAGAAGGTTTTTGGTGCAGCGCTATGTTTGCGACCAGTTTCACCTAGCAACATCCAAGTGGTTGAGGAACCCACATTTGTCACTAACAACTGGAGGTTGCCAGGGGATCACCAACCAGTCTCTAGGCCAGTGTGATTGCGGTGTCAGTGATTAAACATCGGCAACAAAAAGTGAAATAACATCCCACAGACAGCCTGTCAAGTACTGACTTCCTTGTGCCAAATATTTTGTTGTTTTAATTTATTTATCACAATTTTTATTTATTTGTTAGTGATATTAAAGTGATTTATGTCTGTATACTCCCGAGGGAAAAACGAATCACTATAAAGATATAAATGGAAAAAACAATATACATGTATATTTGTATATGTATATACCATGATACCAAGTTATATACCAAACATTTTTGCTACTCCAAACAAAGTAAATTTGAACAAAAAGTCCTAATTAAATAGAAGTAATTAGAAACCTGAGATAAAGTTTAAAGTATAGATTCGACTTTAGGTCAGTATAAGTTTAAGTGGGGCGTGTAGGAGTGAAAGTTCTCAATGTACTGTATGTGTAAATCTATAAGGCCTATAGGTGATGTAACAGCCCAGCTAGCATTTCTCCAGCAGCTACACTCATCCACTGACCCGCTCATTTCACACAGCAGCGTCCTCCCCCTCCTCACCCTTCCCTCGGTCACCACGCCTGTGTTTTCTGGCTGGCCAATGCACTGACCTACTTTTGCTGTTGTCGTTTCACATACACACAGTCACATATACGCTCTTCTTGCTGCCACATACCTTGCTGTTTCTCGTCCGTTAGAAATGAAATCACTGGAACTCAAGAATAAATTTAAACACCAGGCTGCGCAAAAGGTTAAAAGAGAAGAATCTTAATTTATTTGTTTTATTTTGATTTTTGTCCATTTTCAATATTAGAGAAAAATGCCACAGGTGGATAAAAAGCCAATGCAGGAAAAAAGAGGATTTTTTTTAAAAATTTACTTTCACAGTTTAACCTACTAACCTTACTTAAATTTAACTGGCTGTTGTTTTTTAAAAAAACAATCTTTTTTTCTAAGTAAGCAGTGTTAAAAAGTATAAATAAATCAATTTGATTGCAAAAAAGCAACACCATGGTAAAATGGATTACAAATAGGGCTGGGTATCGTCACTGATTTCTAGAATCGATTCAATTCCGATTCACAAGGTCCTGAATCGATTCGATCCACGATTCGATTCAGTTCGATTTGAATCTGGGAAATTTTGACAGTCAGAAATATTATAATTCAGATCAGTACATTTACATATTTTTGTATCTATAAAAAGGAAGCTGACACTCGCAAGACTTTATCAAAGGTGTGAGCGTCACAGCAGATGCCTTTGTGTCAAAGTAGCTGAAGATAAAACACAGAAAAACATGAAGGTGATTTTCCTGTTCTGGGATTTTATAAAAATATTCTGCAGTGCATCAAAAACTAAAGAAAACCATCAATTTATGAACGTTACCTCTGAAGTTACAGCGGTTTTATTAGAGACACGGCGTTTTGCATTTTGCATAATTTTAAAAAGTTTAAATTTGTTCAGTATTGAACGGCAGAAATTCGGTTTTCTTTTCAGAGGTATATAAAACGGAAAAAAAAACGTCGACGACAGCGCTGTAAACAACGGTAGACTTGTGCGTAACAAGCAAGCGAATAATGAAGAAAACAGATTTTTAGACGGGAAACTGTTCTTGAAGTACAGAGAGAGAGAGAGAAAGAGAGCTGTGCATCGTGGTCGAAGCAAAACAGTAAAGGTAAGAGTGAATTCATGACGATGTTTATGTGACGCATAGTTTGGATCTTCTTTTGCTGCTGGTTCGGTCAATATTGTTTGGAGAGACATCAAACAGCTGTAGAATCAGCGCATAAAGGGCGTGAACACAAAGAGCGGACCCGCCGACAGATCAGAATCAGCGAGCTGTCGGCTTTCAGCCCCGACTGTGAGAAAGGTGACATCTAACTGATTCTATCTGCGGGTTGCTCTGTGTGTTTAAGTCTTTGTGCAGAATCCGTGTTCCTGCTCTCATTTACTGTTTTAGCTGTTTGGTGGTTGTTGAAATTTTGTGAGGTTTAACCTGAGATTCTGGCATTTCGGGCAAAATAAATTTATATTAAAAAAATCAATTCAGAATTTTAATGAATCGATTTTACGTTATCCAAGCCAGAATCGATTTTAATCGATAAATTGATTATAAAAACCCACCCCTAATTACAAATATATTAACACTGTGAAACCAAAGGTCAGAGCTGAAAGCATGATTCAGATTCGATTTAAGCTAATTTTATTTTAATCTGCATTAATTGAAAATTACAAAAATGTCAAATGTCATATTTACAAGGGCTTAAATAGCAACAGCATTTTTTTTTAACTGAGGGAGGAAAAACATTAAAAATATAATAATCACAAGGTCTAAAATCACCTGAATGTAGATGTATGTATTGATGTATATGTTTCTTTGCCATCAACAGCAATAAAGCAGAGGTACAAGATGCTTTACAAAATGTACAAAATAGTTTAAATAGCAACATTCAAATAACTTGTGTAACACTTTCTATCCTAACTCTTTCATACAACTATATCACAAACAAAAAATAAACAAAACTTAGTCTACTTTATTTATTCAATTTAAATATATCACCAGCCTTCCAACAGTCTTATTTGTGCTCCGTTAAAGATCATGTGTTTCTCCTTCATTGCAATCTACGTTACTCTGCTGGATTTCCTGTGTAATGTGTCTGAGCACATTGTGTTGGGTCCAACCAGCTTTCTATTTATTTCTTTGTCTCTATTGCTGTCAGTCACAACCAACGGTTCAAGTCACTCATTATTGTGTAATAACTGCATATTTAGCCTACAAGGACAATTATAGTTTTCTCTGCTGCTTCTGCTCCTGGAGGGGTGCTGATAATTGCTTGTACATCATGGGTGATTTAGTTTAAACAATGTGTATGTTCTCATATATATCCATTAATCCATCAGTAATTGATTTTTTTTCTTCTCTTGTCATAAGCATTTTAAAAAGAGATAATAATAATAATAATAATAATAATAATAATAATAATAATGATAATCACATCTTCTTAAAGTTTTTTTTAAAGCTCTTCATGACATCTTTAAACTTTTATATTCACAACGAGGCTACGGATAAATGTTGACCACTGACATCAACAGAAAGTTAGGCAAGTAATACTATGGCTGACACAAAGTTCATCCTCATTACTAAACATGGCGATATAGTAATGCGTTATTACTAAAGTGTTCTAAAGTTTTCCTTATATACTTGGCCATATTGATTAGTTCAGGACAATGTACTTCAAGTACAGTGTAATTTAAATGTAACTTTTGCCGAGCAGAAACAGTGAATTGATTAATTTTTAACATGTCAGATTCAAGGATGTCAGGTTTTGCTGCTTTTCTTTCTCACTTCAAAGTAAATGTCACGGCTTTCATGGTTAAAAATGTCAAAATCAAAACAAATATAGTTTCATTAGTGCTAGAGAATCAGTTTAAAACCAGATAAGTACTGAAAAATCACCCAGAAAAGTAGTACTGATTTAAAAACAGCTGTTTTAATGTGAACTTCACTTTGAGTCTTCGTCGGGTCTGTTTCTGCAGTGCGGAGAAGCGGAGACGGGAGCTGGAGTGCCGCTACATCGAGGAGCTGGCGGAGCTGTTGTCATCCAACATGGGCGACATTGCCAGTCTCAGCGTTAAGCCCGAAAAGTGCCACATCCTCAAGAGCACTGTGGACCAAATCCAGCAGATCAAACGGCGTGAGCAGGGTGAGGAAACACGTTTTCTATACAGTGTCTCCACAATTTCTGTCAAATATTATGCTCTTTAATTTTCTTTATAATTTTCTGCGTAACTATAATGTAAACAAAAAATTCATAAAACATTTTATGTAAATGCTTAAACAAGGTTTGCAGGAGTAAACCAGGGTATGCAAAAAATAAACCTCCACATCTGTAAGATTTGTCACCTCAAGTTTTCAGTTAAAGCATAAATTCTTATCCTATCTTGACAGATGTGGGGAGGAAAGCCTTGGCTGTCTTTGTGAGGCCACTCATTGACATCGGTGCATTCCTAAGACTTAAGTTTAACCATCACAAAATATCTGATAAACTTTCACCTTCTCCCTGACCTGAACCGGTTTTGTAACCTTAACTGTAAAACCAAGCTTTTACCCTCAAACAGGGATTTAAAAGCTTGTCAAAGAAGTTTAGAAAATGTAACCACTCTGGTGGTCTAAAGCTGAACTTTTTTCAAATAATATGATATATTGTTTTGTCTTTGGTTTCCAGTAGTCTGTCTGCTCTGTGCAGCACACATGTAGAGTGCTCTTTATTTCAAAACAGTAACTGTATGATAATAAATTGTAGCCGTACAAAATAACCTTTTTCATTCCATCCATGAACATGTGCTACACTTGCTAGAATAACACGGTAAAACTGTGATATTTACCTCAGTGTTTATTGTGCTATGAATATCGCTGAGACTCAAAATGGGCTTTTTGGCAGGCACCAAATATCTCTGTTGGCATTAAAACCCCCTTTTTTTATAGCATAGCAAACGTCGTGTATGGGTTTTTAATAGCGCTGTCAGCGTTAATCTTGTTAAAATGACTTTAACGCCATAACCACCTTAACGCGGCAAATCTCCGTTAGCGAGTTACCGCGGATCGCCCCGTGCGTGGTTCTGCACGGCGTCAATGTGTTAACATGTTGACGCCGTGCAGAATCACTCATTATGACGTTATGGCCTTAATAATTTAAACGAGATTAACACTGACAGCACTAGTTTTTAAAAATAGGCTTTACACATGCTCTACACAAAAAACAACTGTATTGCAAAATATTTAATGTCTCTGTTGTTCTATCCCCCCCCCCAGCCCTCCTTTCTCCAGATGATGAGGTGCAGAAGAGCGACATCTCCTCCAGTAGCCAGGGACTGGTGGAGAAAGAGGCGTTGGGGCCCATGCTGCTAGAGGTAAAACAATACATAGAAAATCCTGGTTTGTGTGCCTAACATGTTGTTTACTCCTAACTAATTTTCCTAAAAGAAAATCTGATTTAGTTTTCCCTCTCTCTGTTCTTCCCGTTAAGGCGCTTGATGGGTTTTTCTTCGTTGTCAACCGGGAGGGGCGCATCGTCTTTGTTTCTGAGAACGTGACGAGTTACCTTGGATACACCCAGGAGGAGCTCATGGCCTCCAGCGTCTACAGCATCCTCCACGTGGGAGACCACAACGAGTTTGTTCGTAATCTGCTGCCTAAAAGCCTCGGTGAGTGAGCAGAATCGATTTTAAATGCAGCGTCTGCGTTTTCAGCCAGCGACTGCAATGTTTTTGAGGGATATTTAATAATCACTTTTTCAGCATTTTTAAATTTCACCATTTCCATGCCAATGAAACCCATTAAGGAGGCAATAAAACTCACTGTTAAAAAAGCAGAAGAATCTCTACACGGCACTCAAATTCAAATGATTAAGTTGGTTTATTAAAAGAAGATTTTGTAGCTAAGGCAAATTTAAAGAGCTGTGAGGAGAGGTAGGAGGATGAACTGTGTAAATTTTAAATGAACAGAGTTTTAGTGCTTCTCACAAAGCTGCAAATTATTAGGGAGGAAAGTGTGTAGAGGCGGCACATGCGTGGGTGAAGAGTATTGAAACATAGACTTTCTATTGTGTGACAGTGTATTTTTTTTCTTTTGTGTGTGTGTGTTTAGCTCCAACCTTGAAGAGATTAGAATGGAAACGTAGGGGCCAGATGAGGGGGATTTAAGGACAAAAGATAACAGAGTGCACTAGGCAACAAGGTTGAATTGTTGTATTTTCCATTGGTCTTGTAATTCGGCACCAGGCACTCCAGTGCTTCTTTTTTTCTACTCAGAAACAGATTTTAAAGAAAAATAAACTCACAGAGACACTTAGCAGATGGATTTTTACCATCTTAGGTTGGTTGTCAACATTTAGCTTATTCTTAAATCCTTTAGTGCTTCTTCTTTGTGTTGCTTAACAAGGATTTGCAGCCCTTTGTAAATTAATATAAATTTTGATATTGTATTTAAAATTATTGTTATTTACTAAATGGACACAGAACAGTAAAATGGAAGGAGAGAAGAACAGATTCAAACTGAGTTTTTCTTCTTTGACAGTATATTTTAGCTGTTGGCTCTTCCTTTCAGTTGTCTGTTGATACCGCTGATTTAGCGCTGCAGCAGAAAACAATTGCGTGTATGAAAGAATCAGTTAAGTAGACATAAAGTAAGAGGCTAAAACTAGTTAAAAGGAACACAAAATTATTGATTTATCTTTGATCAGGCGGCAGAACAAAATGCTTTTGTGCTTTTTAAATGTTTGCAAAGTTACAAAAATTGCATCAAAGCAGTTATCCTCTCCCACAAACACTCGCCCTGAATTGGCTGCACCTTGTTTCCTTTCTGTAACTTATCTACCTCACTGTGTATCAAATGTAACAGCTAGTTTGGGATTCAAACAGATAATCAGTTTATTTAAAGCTGTGAAAAGATTTGTGCTCTTCCAGCTTCATTGGTTTGTGGTTTTAAACTCATGAAGATATGTTACTATGAAAGGCGAGTTTTTACCTTACGTAGTAATGGCATGCAGTACGCAAAAAAATAGAGCATTCCTTGTGCATGGAGAAAGCACATTAATAGTTGATAGTTAATTTTATTGCAGTTTCCATGCACTTCCAGCATCTGAGGAACTGAAAACCCAGTGGATTACACTGGGTTTTGATGCCAGTGCCTCTACAATGCTAGGAAAATCCTCAGTTTTAGCCTCAGTGCTACATTTGCTTTGAATTTTATCCATTTTATTTTGTGGGTTTTTTGGTTTGTTTATTTTGTTTTGTTTTTGTAGTTTGTTTTTCCCCTCACAGTCTAAAGTCATGCTTATTTGTCTGTTAACTGATTATAAAATTTCCCAGAAATGTGTGAAATATCTTTGCCGGGTCTTCATCCACTAACCCCCAATCAGTCGCCGCCTCTCCCCAAGTCTGGTTCTGCTGGAGGTTTCTTCCTGTTAAAAGGGAGTTTTTGAATGTGAAAGTGAGTGAGTGGTGTTTGGTTAGAGCTGTGATGAACTGGTGTTCCCCCTCTCTCTGGGTGACTGCTGGTATAGAAGTTAAGCAGTTATGGAGTATATAATTATTAAACAAGTTAAAAAGTACTAGGCAAATGTTTTAACTTGATACTGTTTCACCAGATCCGCTGACATCTGTCCATTTGTGTCCACTAATTACAAATTCCACTAAGCTTTCCTTTCACTGTGTGAATCATGTTTGGGTGATTTGGTGCTCTCTGTGTGTGTTATAGGCTGTAAATTGGAAAATAAATTCCTCGCTTTCCCCTCTCCCTCTCTCCCACTCTCTCTCATCGCCCACGATTAGTGCCGAGATGCGCAGAGGCCAGCACAGCTCTGCTGTTCCATCTGTGCCTCACAATTAGGGTTATAGCAGATTGATAGCCCTGCTTTAATTGAGTGCAACATTAAATTATGCCCCAACCCCCTGGTGCTGTATGAAGCTGCTGGGGTTAATCTTCTTCTTGTTTCACACAAGTGTGACGGATACAAACCTCCATAGTTCTTAGTTATGAACCTGTAAACGAGGAAAATATGATGCTGATATTAAGATCAGACATTCTCATCTAAGCTGTTGTCTTTTTGTCCTTTCACCATAAATCTCATTAAAGGAGTGATATTTGTGTAAGAAAGAATGAATGCATAGATGCAAAAAGTCTTTTCTTGTCTTTCAAATGCGTGCAGCAGATTTGTATTTGCAAATGCCCTATTGTCTAATTTTTAAAATGTGTGCAAAACGCATCAAAGCGTCCCAGTGTCAGCATTTATTTTGCTGCACTTTGTGCAAATCAGACGAGCATTTGCATCTCTAGTTTTAGTGCTAAATTAAAAAAGGATGGCGTTCCTGAGGGTGATTTGTACCAGGTTTAGTAAAGAGATTTTATCATGAAGTGGTGGAAATGATGGGACTTTGTTTATTTTCTCTTTCCTCATCAATATTTAACTTTCTCTTTGTTGTAGTAAATGGTGTCCCGTGGCCGCAAGAATCTGGGCGCAGGAACAGCCACGCCTTTAACTGTCGCATGCTGAAGAGGCCACCAGACGAGGTGGATTCGGAGAACCTGGAGGCCCGGCAGCAGTATGAGATCATGCAGTGTTTCACCGTGTCCCAGCTACGGACCATGCAGGAGGAGGGAGATGGTACATACGTACAACACAGCCATGAGCCATTTCCTACACTGAATCAGTAGATTGTAGTTTTTAAAGCCAATATCAATAGGCACTCATCAGAGTATAGCCTTACGATGATCACGGTTTGAACTGACTCAGTGTTAACAGCTGAATATAAATCTATTTAGGTATTGCACCAATGTGTGCATTTTGCACCATTCTTTGAAGAAAAAATATCTTGAACTTGCTCACCAGACTGGCTGGTATCAGTTTGCGTGTTTAGGAATTGTTATATAAGACAGCTGAACAAGGGTGTCAAATTCAGGGCCGCACAGAGGAATAAGAATCACTTTCTTCTTCACATATGCCTACAAGTATTACCAAGCCTGTTTTACAGGCCTGAACATGACAGCTCAATAGCCATATAGGAAGTCTGGCTGGCTTCAGATTTGCCCCAGGTGGGATTTTGCTTTGACTTTGGCTCATGTGATATAGAACATACAGCAGCGGGCCTGCTATTATTACATGTAACATCCTAATATCCTCCTGCTGTTCCCATGACTTTCCACGATCCTTGCCTTTAGCCTCGGCTGAGGTTTTTTCTGTTCTTGTCAGCACAGAGTTGTGGCTCCCACCACATTGTTCACCCATGACACAGTTCTTTGAGCATTTTGTATTTCCTTCTTAGCACATCTGTGTTTATCTGAAACAGCCTTTAAATGGAACTTATTACACTTTTCTTTATTATACTTTCCTCATTTCCTGGTACGCATGTACTTGTACAGCAGTTTATGAGTTATTCTATTTATCCTTTCTTAGTGAGCTTCTTCACCTTTATAATCTATTTAAGTTACATTAAAGGTTGGTGGTGTTTTGGATGCTGTAACACAGGGATGTGTCTTATCTTATGAATGGATGATGGAGGAACAGCATACTGGAAGAACGCTTGCTTCAAGGAAGAGGAGCTGAAACGTCACAAAATTCCAGTAAAGGATAAATAAGGATTTTTTAAAAATGTGAATCACGTAAAGCTGTTATGGTAGCAGAGTGTCTTTCTATCTATGGGTTTCCAGTGCACTCAGAGTTTAAAAAAAGACAAAGAATAGTTTTAGATATGGAGTTTTAATTAGTTATTTTTTTAAACTCTATTAGTAGTGTTTCTCTTAGGTGATGGAAGCATGTTAAGATGTTTTCGCTTGTTGAAACTTGTTTATCTGTTTTTCCCGAATCCTGAAAATGTTCTTGGCTATGTCAGGAATTAATCCAATTTAAGAAAATAATGGATTTGGCTTACACAGAAGGTGATCATTGTTGATGGATAAATACTTCTTCTGCAGTTATTTTATGACTTTTTGCTGTTGATGCTGCCACCAAAACCTTTCAGTCGCTGGTTAATTGGACTGCCATCAGATTGTTGGGGGATGTTTTTAATGTTCTTTGGAGTCGCTGGTGCAGTAGCCTTGATGAACTGTGTGATTTTTCTTTTTTCCTGCATTGCAGACTCATTTGTTCTGTCTGCTTTTTAGTCACTTTGATAAGAGCTGGCCTTGTGGATTGGAGGACTCTCTTCTTGTGTGTGGAATCTGGTTTAGTGGCTCCTACTTCATTGTTTGACATGTTTCTATAGAAAATTGGCAAGAAAATGTTATTTTTGTGTTCCAGCAAGCTACTGTTTCGTCCGTTTTGTAGTTCATTCATTGAACTTTTAACTATAAGGGTTTTTGTGTTATTTATATTTGTTGTATTTGCTGCCAAACGTCTTGAAAGAAACTGTTTCCTAACAGCTGAACTGGTTTTGCTTCTCTTGTTGACCAGAGTTTATGTTTCTGTCATCTTGACTTAAACTAAACTAAACTTGGGGAGTGAGTTTGGGCTTTAAGAGATGTGTGATACACTGTGAACGAGAGGGATGTTCTAGATTTACGGTGCAAGACGAAACAAGACCACCATTGTGGGGCAAAAAAATGCAGCACAATAAATGTTGCAAGCTGTTATTGTAATTGAACACTGGTTGCAAGAAGGAGGATGTGTAGTTGAAGGTCTTTGATATTCACTACTTGGATTTAACAAATATCTTTTAATAATACAGCGCAGGTATAGGGCGGGAATTTGGTCCCCGCTCTCCTGTCTCACAGTTTATACTTTTATTGCTATTTTTCAGTCTGTTTTTTGGATTGAATTCTTCATATATTTCAAGAATATCCAAAATCCATTGTAAAAAAGAATCTGTTGTATTTAAGAAAATTCAAAAGGTTTCCAAAGACAGCGATTTGTGTTAAGTAATAAAATATGGACTGTATGCTCCCAAGTAATGGATATTTCTACTGCTATAGAGTTATTAATTATAGTTCAGCTGATAACACCCTTGTTCAGTTGTTATCACCATATTAAGTAATAATATAACTGATGATCTTCTCTTTTGTGTTATATCAGTCTTGCAAGTGATAAACATTTCAAACTAGTTTAATGAAATGCTGAAAAACCTTAAAAGTATTCAGCAATTTGTTGTCTTGACACAAAAGGGGGTGCATCTGTGTATCCCTTAGTCTTTAAATTCATTTATATCACCTCCATTCTTCAGCTGTTGTGAAGTTTTTCTTTCTTTTGCTGACTGCGACAAACATTTACATAAACCTCGCTCCTTGTGTCCTCTTTAGACCTGCAGAGCTGCCTGATATGCATTGCCTGCCGGATGCCACGAACCCAGCCTGTCAGCACGGAGTCTTTTATCACAAAGCAGGATCCCACAGGTAAAACACACACGGGCGTAAGAAGAATCACGGGAGGGGGGTTTTGAGAGGTTAGAGTCATAGAAATTGGAGGGATACTTTATAGAGGAAATACAAATCTCATCTTCCACACGCATGGTTCTCAAACTCTTACCTGTGAGCCTTTGGGGCCATTTGTAGCACTGCCTGTGAGGTCAGCATTTATTTTATTCAACCACAGTTCATACCACGCTGTGATATATCAGCACAGAACAAGACTTAGTAAGCACCTCTCTTCAGTTTAAACATTTCCCGTTCAAGACGTTAAAGGAACTAAACCTTTATAACACAAAGAAGAATAAGGGGTGTGTCAAGAATTGAGCAGATACCTCACATGTTGTTAAAAAGGCTGTAAATCAGTGTAAAAATCCAAATACTAACATATATAACCATCCTTTAAATTCTCATCTGCATCCCTCAATAGTATGTTCACTTCCTTACCTCGCGTTCAGTCACCAAAACTCAAACACATGTACAAAATTTGCTTTACTGTATTATTAGAATAAATTTAT